GTTCATAAGTCTCTGTTATGGATAGCCATTCTTTAATTAAAGTATACTTTTGTCACTGGGGTTCATTATGGAGACATACTGAGAGCACTTTCCTCCCATGGCACTATTGTGAGCAAGAGTACTCTAATGAGGATATTGAGTGTGCATGGGCTTTACCACCTTCAAAATGCTGATTTGGATCAAGTCACTGAATTTATAGTGAATCTGTTGCATAGCAATTGGACATTACATAGCTATAGATGGATGTATAGAAAGTGATATTCAGAGCAGCACACAAACCAAAATATGGGCCAAATTTTATATTATAAAAATAACACATTTTATATTATAAAATATTATTCTGAGAACACAAAACACAAAAGTTAAGAGCATGATTAAAGTAAATTGTACACAAATTGTACATTATGATTTTAGTACATTATTCAGATTTTAAGCAAAAATGTGCACATGAAATAAAGAAATAAATTATATATATATATATATATATATATATATATATATATATATATATATATATATATATATATATATATATATATATATATATATATATATATATATATATATGAGAGAGAGCTTCTTTTTTTTTTTAACTATTTCATGGTCTCTCCGGGGCTATGTATATAATAACCTATTTTTGATTAAAAAAAGGAATTGTCATTTGTCCTCCTCCTCCTCCTCAGTCTATATTCACAGACAGTATAGAGGAACCTGAAGCAGTAGATCTCAGAAAATTGAAACTTGGGGCACTATAAAGGTATTTGAACAGATAAGGGTAGGAAAAGGCAGAGAGAGGACATGTGCATTATTCCACTATTCCCAGCGCTTATCCACACTAGTGAAATATTGAAGTCTTAAATTATAATCTGTTTTCCATGGCCATTTTTAATCTTTTTTTTTTCTTTTTTTTCAAAATTTCCAATGTATATTTATTTACTGGAGCTTTGCAGTGATGGATTCCACCATTCCTAAGCTGCATTCTTAAAATTAATTTCAAAGCTCAGTTTGTTGCAATTAGTTTTAAGTCATACCCATGTCTGTGTGGGTTTCCTCAGAGTTCTCCAGTTTCCTCCAACCCCTAAAACAGTAGGGGCACTGGCTATGCTAAGGTTGTGTATGAGTGAATGTGTGAAGTGTGCGTGCCTGGTACACATGAGTCTGTGCGAATGTGTGCGCGCCTGGTACCCTGTTATGAATTGGCATCCCATCTTGGATGAATTTACCCAACTTAAACTCAGTGTTTGCTGGGGTAGGCTCTGGATTCACTACAACTAAATAATGAGCTCAATATGTAAGCATTATTAATATGTAGTAATTGTAAATGCCTCAAAGACAGTAAGTCACTGTGCCAGCAGAGCTCCTTACAAGGTCAAAAACTTTGAGGCTCAAAAACTTTGAGGCTCTCTAAGGTACAAATCTAAGGATTTGTTGTGCGTGTGTGTGTGTGCAGTGCCCTACACTAATATTGGCACCCTTGGCAAATATGAGCAAAGAAGACCGTGAAAAATTTGTCTTTATTGTTTAACCCTTGGATCTTTTGTTTAAGAAATTCACAAAAAATACTCCGCTCTCATGGATATCAAACAATTGCAAACAAAACACAGCTTTATCAAAAAAAATCTTTGTTAAATATAGTTGTGCAACAATTATTGTCACTCTTTTAGTCAATACTTTATAATACCTCCCTTTGCCAAGATAGCAGATCAAGTCTTCTCCTTTAATAACTGATGAGGTTCGAGAATACATGGCAAGGGATCAAAACCATTCTTCCATATCAAATCTGTCCAGATCCTTCAAAGTTCAAGGTCCACGCTGGTGAACTCTGCTCTTCAGTTCACTCCACAGGTTTTCTATGGGTTTCAAGTCAGGGGACTGGGATGGCCATGGCAGGACCTTGATTTTGTTGTCAGTAAACCATTTTGTGTTGATTTTGATATAAGTTTTGGATCATTGTCCTGCTGGAAGAACCAACCATGACCCATTTTAAGCTTTCTGGCATGGGCAGTCAGGTTTTCATTTAATATCTGTTGATATTTGATAGAGTCCATGATGCCATGTATCCTAAGAAAATATCCAGGTCCTCTGGCAGAAAAACATTAAAGAGCCAGCACCATATTTAACCATGGGCATGATGTATTTTTCCATATGGCTACCTCTCTGTGTGCGCCAAAACCAACTGTGGTGTTTATTGGCAAAAAGTTCTATTTTGGTTTCATCTGAACATAGAACCTGATCCCAAGTTCAATAGTTTTTTTTATAACTCCTTCCCATTTTGTGAAGTTCAACAACCTTTTGCCGCACATCACAGCTATATTCCTTGGTCCGTATTTACTATGCCAACGACCAGGATTCAAGCCTCAGCTCAACTAACTGTTTTTTAAATGAATGGGGTTTTTTCACAGTAGAAAGTTCATTGATGTAACATTGAATAAATTCCATGTGAACAAAAGTGACTGGAGGGCCATGACAATTAAAAAGAGTCAGGTGATGGACTATTAGCAAGTTATTTAATTCATTCTTATAATTCCAACAATTACAATTCCAACAATGTTTTTTCTTCACTATTTAGCTGTCTTTTTATTTTAAGGATCTAATAAAGTGCACATATAAAATTATTTTTATTTACAAGTGTTTGTTTGTGATTTTTAGGTTACTATATTGTTTGTCATTTTATAATAGGTTTTATTGAACAACTGATAATTTCTTACTGATCTATTTCACTGTCCCATGAGTTACAATCGTGACTAAATATTTTTTTTAAGTTAGTGAAAATACCACCAACTTTTTAAAACCTGTTATTAGAAAAGTTTGTTTAATTGGGCAATCCAGGGAGTAAAATGCATATACTCACTTACTGTAGTTTCAATAACTTGGATTCACATGCAAATGTACTGGGCGATTAATAAAAAATTATCATATTTTAGTAATCTTATCTTTTGCCTCATCAAAATAAAGGGGTGGTGCAGAAGCATAAAAATTGGAGTCATATAAATTCTATCCAGGTCAAGTTATTTGTACGTGTTTGCAGTCTATGACATCACAGTGGAAACAAAAGCATTTTGCTAAAAGATAAGCACTGCTGAGAGGTGATAATAGTTGGGGGGAAGGGGGATTCATCCTCTTCAAAAACACAAAGAATTTCTTTGTTGCTGAATCCAATCTTACAGAAGCCCTAAGCGGCCATGCATTATTATTTTTCTCTTTGCCTTTATCCTTCCCGCAGCGAGTGTCCTGCAACTTGTATACATGGTATAATTTTTGGGTATAAAATTTTTATATTAGAGAAGCAGAGTCTCTCAGAAATAAAGATGGGCAGAGGTTCACCAGACTTTTTTGATACGTGTTACAGCCATCAAATTCAAAATGACCTTATTTTTCCTATAAAATTGTACATTTCCTAAGTTTAAACATTTTATATGTTATCTGTGTTCTATTGTGAATAAAATATGGATTTATGAGATTTGCAAATCATTGCATTCTGTTTATATTTACATTTTACACACTTTTTATATGTAGATGCTGACAGTTGTTGTGTCTTTCTCATTTTTTATTTTTAGTTGGAAACACCCACAGATGCCTTTGCTTTCAGCAGAGGGAATGTTTGAAATTATGGCCCTGTGTCATGCATGGGGTTTATTCATGTAAAAAATCAGGTTGCTGGTGCTGCCAACCTTATGGAAATCTACAGATAGTAGATAGAGAGTCTCTGGATTTTCTGTCAGTCTCTTGTTTTGTAAACTTTTTGTGCAGTTTCATGTGAAAAATCTTTTGGATAGTTCAGTGGAATGGCCTCCATACTTTGTGTTTGTGTGGGCCTCGGCTTATGGGTCAATTGCACCTGTACTTGGCTTGGAGTTGGGTGTGGATAATCCCTTCCTTTTCACACCTCCAACATGTAGGTTGGCTGGTCAGGTATAGCTGAACGCTGGTAGAACAACTGTTCAGTGGGAATAATATTAATAAATACTTGAGTAAGAGTAATAAAGTATACGATGAGAAGACTACTCAAGTTACTAATTACAAATCAAGGGAAAATCCAGAACCATCCAGAAGGGAAAATTTTCTTCCTCTATAGAAAAACTGCTAAAATCTGCTAAAAACTTGAGCAGTTGTTGTGTCAGACCACTGTAGCGTATCACGAGGCTCGTGACCTCATTATATGTAATTTAAACAAATTATTAAAACTACATACATTAATAATTAACAGTAATGAAGGAATGGCACCAAATGTAGTGAGGTAAAAGTACGTATCTGTGATTAAAAATGAACTTGAGTAAGATTATAAGTATGGCCAGTTATCTATTAAAAGTTGTTGTTTTTTTTTTCAAAAAGTTACTGAAAAAAAAAGTTACAGAATTAAATGTAACAAAGTAAATGGCGGTTGTGGATCAGATGGTAGAGCGGGTTGTCCACTAGTCATAGGGTTGGTGATTCCCGGCCCACGTGACTCCACATGCCGAAGTGTCCTTGGGCAAGACACTGAACCCCAAGTTGCTCACGACGGCAGGTTAGCGCCATGCATGGCAGCTCTACTACCATTGGGGTTTGAGTGCGAATGGGTGAATGAGACACAGTGTAAAGCGCTTTGGATAAAAGCGCTATATAAGTGTGCCATTTACCATTTAAATGTAGCATGTTACTGCCCATCTCTGAGTACCTGTGATAGTCAGAATGTGTAAATCACCTTGTGAATATGTTGTTTCTGTTACAACACATTTGATAAATGTTGCCACATATTTAAATGAATACATAAAATGTTTGAATATTTGGTTTAATTTGATCGATTCACACAGTACAGTTCAATAAAACTCAATTCAATGATGTGGAACCAAGGTACAAATTAAGTAAATTCATTGAGCTTTTTTTCAGTGTGTGGACATCTTTGTCACTTTAAACCAGTTCTTAAATAACTTTTAATCTAAGAAAAGAACAAAAGTTCCATTGGCTATTGAGGAACTTTCTACAGTGAAAAAAATCCCTGGTCATTAAAAAAAAAAAAGTAAACTGAGCTGGGACTCGAACCCTGGCCGCTGGCTTACTAAACCTGCATGATATCCAAATAAACATACCCCCCATACATTAATAAAGTTATCTATAGAATGGGACTTGATCACGCTCACTCCTGTAACTAGAAGTTTCTTTAAATTAGGTTTATCGTACATGTGAAACGCAATATTTTTATGCAAACCATGCGTAAATTTTTTTCTTAAAAAAAGACCATATATTCCATATTTTTCAGGCTCAACCACCTTTAATGTACTCCGCTGCTTGTTGCAAAATGGCTCTGAGAGAGGTTCACAGATCCGCAGGCCAAGCACAAGCAGATCATGGGCTTCAGTACAAGAAACAGCACGGTTTGGTTGGTAAAATAATATGTGTATACAGTATATGTCTATGCAGAACTACTGTATCTACTGCATGTTTATTCAAATGAAACATGACCTGCCCCTTTCCTGTATCACCTATGTCCGCAGCACACGCATGATTCCACGTGTTACTGAATGAAATCGTAGGATCCCGTTTCCTTTGACGCACATTTTTAATGGCAACATCTGTTGTATTTCGTTTGAAGGTCTAAAACTATTTAGTATGAGATATACACAAAAACAGAAGAAATCAAAATGGGGCAAATACCACACACACACACACACACACAGAGACCCATCAGCCATAGCATTAAAACCACTGAGAGGTGAAGTGAATAATGTTGATTATCTCATTACAGTGGTACTTGTCAAGGGGTAGGATATATTAGGCAAGTTCTCAAAGTTGATGCATTGGAAGGAGGATAAATGGGCAAGTGTAAGGATCTGAGCGACTTTGACAAGAGCCAAATTGTGATGACTAGACGACTGGATCAGAGCATCTCCAAAACGGCAGGTCTTATGGGGTGTTCCCATTATGCAGTGGTTAGTACCTACCAGAAGTGGTCCAAGGAAGGACAACCGGTGAACTGGTGACAGGGTCATGGGTGCCCAAAGCTCATTGATGTGCATGGGGAGCAAAGGCTAGCTGAGCTACTGTAGCAGAAATTGCAGAAAAAGGTAATGCTGGCTATGATAGAAAGGTATCAAAACACAGTGCATCACAGCCTTTTAGCTGTGACCAGACAGAGTGCCCATGCTGATCGCTGTCCACCACCGAAAGTGTCTACAATGGGCACATGAGCATCAAAACTGGATTATGGAGCAATGTAAGAAGGTGGCCTGGTCTAATATATCACATTTCTTTTACATCGGTTGCATGTGAGTCACTTATCTATTTATCTGGGGAAGAAATGGCACCAGGATGCACTAGAAAGAAGGCAAGCTGGCAGAGGCAGTGTGATCCTCTGGTCAATGTTCTGCTGGGAAACCTTGTGTACTGGCATTCATGTGGATGTTAATTTGACACATACCATCTACCTGAACCTTGTTGCAGACCGAGTACATCCTTTCATGGCAACGGTAATCCCTAATGGTAGTGGCCTCTTTCAGCATGTGCCCTGCCACACAAAATGGTTTGTGGAAAATGACAAAGAGTTCAATGTGTTGACTTGGCTGGCAAATTCCCCAGATGGGTCAGTTTTGGTGGCACAAGAAGGACCTACACAATATTAGACAGGAGGTTTTAATGTTATGGCTGATCTGTGTCCATCTCTCTCTCTCTCTCTCTCTCTCTCTCTATATATATATATATATATATAGAGAGAGAAAGAAAAAAAAAAAAAAAAACAAAAAAAAAAAATACATATAAAAGAAAAAAATATATATATATATAGTCGCGACGGACCGACAGTCGGCGCGCATGACAAGAGAGTCGCTCCTTCCCCGACTGCCACGCAGGCACGAAGCAGACAGCCTCGTGCCAGACCCAACGCCAACTGGAAGGACCGTCACGGTGGGGCGGAACCGCCAACACCACACCGCCCAGCGATTGGGGAATCAGTCAGGGGAATCCCACCATTCCGATGACGGGGGAAGGATTTAAAAGGACGCCCTTCCGCCCATGTGAGAACGAGTTCCGACTCACAGACGATGTGCGCGTCCGTTGGCTGTAGAAAGGTATTCCAACCGCAGACGCGGCAATCTAATCTCTCTAATTTCTCTCTCTCTCTCTCTCTCTCTCTCTCTCTCTTTCTCTCTCGTCCTCTTCCTGTAGGTTCGGGCATGGATGAGGACGGCAGCTGGTGAAATGGACCACGACGGTGGATGACAGCACGGGAAACCCACACATACTTCCGGGAATCCTGACACGCCCTCGAGAGCATCGTTTTACCAGCCCCGCCCCCACAGAACCACCCACACTCAACCACACATACACACACACACCTCCTCTGTGCAGACAACACTGTGTGAGAAGAAAATAAAAGTTTAATCACTGTACCACAACAACCGGCTATTTCCCCTAAAAAGTGGAAACACCATCACGCCATCATCCACCGGCCACGCACAGGAGCTGCTCGCACTATTTTTGACCAGGGAGTCAGAAGAATAGTCAGAAGGGTAGCTCAAGAGCCAAGGACCACTTGGAAAAGAGCTCCAGAAACACTTGGATTCAGCAGGTGCCATTGTCACAGAGAAAACAATAGGCAATGCACTCCACTGCTCATGCTCACTCCGCAAGACTCCATTACTAAAGAAATGACGTGTTGAAGCTCGTTTAAAGTGTGCTACAACTCATTTGGATAAGCGTATGATATACTGGGAGAGTGTAGGCTGGTCAGAGAAGAGTAGAATTGAACTTTTTGGCTGTCATTCTACACACTATGTTTGGAGAATTAATGGCACTGCACATCACCCTAAAACACTATACCAACAGTGAAATTTGGAGATGGAAGCATCATGATGTACAGCTTTTTTTCATCGCATGGTACTGGCAGACTTCATATAATTGAAGGAACGATGAATGGAGTCCTTTACCAGGAGATTCTTAAGAATATTCTGCTGCCATCCACCAGGATGATGAAGATGAGACATGGGTGGACCTTCCAGCAGGACAACACCTGAATACTGAGGCCGAATAATTGTTTCATACAGGAAGTGTCTTGAAACGGTCATAACAAACAAATGCTTCTCCGCTAAGTATTAAATAAATTTCAGTTAGCGTGCTCAATATTTTTTTCTTGTGTCATTCCATTTAGTTACACATAACTTTATTTATGGACTTTAATGTGAATTCTTTATATTTCCAATTTTCTTGACTTAATACTGATGTCTGGTGAAAATTTCATGTGAGCAGCCTCATGGGAAATATATTTACTGAAAAGAATGTTGACGCATCCAATACTTATTTCCCCCACTGGAATCAATCAATCAATTGATCGATCGATAGATCGATAGATAGATAGATAGATAGATAGATAGATAGATAGATACCTACAGTGCTGCAGTACTGTCCAGGGCAGTAATACTGGCTGAAAGAAAGACGCTCTTGCTAAGACTGTATTTACAGCTTTTCAGAAGAGTACTGAAAGGAAACATCAGAAGACAGAAAAGGAGCTGATGAGAGCAGCTGCCTCATCTTGAAACTTGCAGTCAAGCCAAGTACTCATTTCCTCCAAAATTAACTCAAGCACTGCTCAATGAGTCAGCAACAATGGTCACTCCGGTGTGTGGGTGTTATGGCACATCCATTTCCTGAGCACTTCAGCACAGTAGAATGGCACAACACATTAGGTTGCTTCTCGTGAATTCAGATCTCTTCCACCAAGGCATTTAAAATGGTTATGAGCGATGAAAAAATTCTAAATGAAGTACTACTTTTTGATTTCACTCACCTGGCAATGACAAACAGCACGCAGCTAACGCCCAGGTAGGCCAGCAGGATGTAGACCCAGATATCGGGGGTCATGGGCTTGAGGAAGGAGAAGAACCCGGTGTTGGTACTGTTTGGCCGGCGGTATAAGATGCTGATCCCTGTGTTCAGGAATGGCTTGGAGAAATCAATCACCTTCTCCCTCACAAAGGTGATGGTAAGTGGAGCTACAGCCAAATCTGCTCTCTAAGCATAAGGAGGAAAAAGACAAAAAGGTTCTGTACAAAATTCACTACCTTGTAATGGTCAGTTTAACTAAAGGTTGTTAAACATTAAATGTTTTTCCCATTAAAAAGTGTTTAAATACCACTATAATTTATTCATTTCATATAAATGATTATGTAACCCAGTTTAAGCATAACAATGAAAACATTAACAATGGTGTCTAAAACTCACCTACAATTACCTCTACTAATATTGGCACCCTTGTTAAATATGAGCAAAGACAGCTGTGAAAAATTTGTCTTTATTGTTAAAACCTTTTGATCTGCTATTTAAAAAAATCCGCAAAATACTCTGCTCTCATGGATATCAAACATCCATCCATCCATCTTCAACCGCTTACTCCTTTTCAGGGTCACAGGGAACCTGGAGCCTATCCCAGGAAGCATTGGGCACAAGGCAGGGTATACCCTGGACAGGGTGCCAGTCCATTGCAGGGCACAATCACATACACACTTACACACCCATTCATACACTACGGACACTTTAGACAGGCCAATCAGCCTACCATGCATGTCTTTGGACTGGGGGAGGAAACCAGAGTACCCGGAGGAAACCCCCGCAGCACGGGGAGTACATGCAAACTCCGTGCACACAAACTTCCGAGTACCGGTGGACTCGAACCCCGGACCCGGTGAGGCAAACATGCTACCTACATCACCAGAAGTTGTTTGGAAGGGTTTGAAGAAAAAAAAGCCTTTACTCTTATCCAAAAAAAAACTCTTGCATCTTCAGTTTGCCAGACTCTACTGGAAATTCAAATGGGATCAGGTTCTGTGGTCAGATGAAACCAAAATAGAGCTTTTTGGCAATGAACACCATAGGTGGTTTTGGCGCACACAGAGAGGTAGCCATATGGAAAAGTACCTTATGCCCACTGTTAAATATGGGGTGGCTCTTTTGGGACTTTTTCTACCAGAGGACCTGGACATTTTGTTAGGATACATGGAATCATGGACACTATCAAATATAAACAGATAATAAATTAAAACCTGACTACCTCTGCCAGAAAGCTTAAAATGGGCCACAAAATCAAGGTCCTGCCATGGCCATCCC